AGGCGGGACAAAGAGCGCGCTGGAGATCAACCAGCGGCAACAGCCGCCCGAGGCAGCTCCACCGGGTTTTGTACACAATAAACCTTCCTCCGGGTGGGTGCCAGAATTACGCCCTTCTTAATGTGTTCTTCCATGGAGATTTAAACAGGGCGTAATTCGACGGTGACACACGTCAGATGTCATCGTTATAACGCTAGCGACACAGAACTCGTCGTTATAACACTAGCGACGCTGAACTCGTCGTTATAACAGGTCCGACCTGTTAGAAATCCACAAGGTTGGGGCTGAAAGCTAAGGACGACAACAGGACTAGTCAAAATAAAGCGAATTTTGACAGCCGTAAAACAGTAGCAGCGAAACAGTTTCCCAAAATCAGGTCAGAAGTGGGTGTACTCTGAAAGCAACTTAAGAATTCTAAGTTTGAAATAAACATCTTTCTTCCTCTGAGAGAAAAATATGCAATACTGTCGTGACCGAAACACCTTCGTTCCAGCGATAACTTCTTCGTGCAGAATAGTTTAAAGACAGGCTTAGCAAATACATTCGATAAACATACAACACAGGGGCTACCTTCTGCTTCGTAATATTATTTGATAAGGCTACGATCGCACCTGAACTTGCTTGGGAATTACTTTTGACCAGGGGAAACTGCATTGAGCTTTCGGGATGAACGATCAGAATATTCTCAAGTCACTTCAACCGGATGTCTTTTCTTTGGCTGAATTGGTAGTTTTTTCTTAACACATTGGCGCCGCAAGTGGAATCTATCGTAACTGTGCTGACCTTCACGCCACTCATTGGAACAATAGCGTGTCTATTGTTCTCCTCAGATCGAAAGCTCGTACAGAGGTCCGGTATAGTAATCTTTATGGTCATCCATCAATTACGTTCGCGGTCTATCAAAAAACCACTTGCAACCTCGATGTGACGATAACGGTATGCTTACATTGTTTGGCGGCGGCGGCGGTGTTCCGACACTGACATTCCCGAAATTGCTGGCCCTCGAACTTGCCCTTATCCTCATAGTGTTGATGGATAAGCCGAATTATTTGGCGGGTTCGTTCAATTGTGTGTCGATTGTCGTGCCCCGACACTAACAGAACGATGTCATCGGCGTATGCGTAGGTCTCCAGCTGCATGCTTGGCATCATTCGATGCAAACTTGACGATCGCTCTCGACAATGTCCACCACGAGCTTCAGCAAGCTGAAGGCAGACGCGGTGACTGCGGCTGGATTACAGTGAAAGTTGGCTCGCCGGATCTACCCCAATCTCTCACATCTGTATCCGATTTCATGACAAGAGTC